GTTAGAAGTTATTTTATGAAACTCATCGACAGATACATTACTCTAAAGTTTTACTGATTTTGATCAGTTTTGTGGAAAATCGCGAAAGGATATCATAATTTTTGCTGATCACTGTATAAAGAATTAAAATTTTCATATATACATATATATAGTTGTTGCTACCGAATGTGCTTAAGTTGTACAACGTGAGAATCGTGGATATTGTATAGATTAAATCTCTTTTTAAATGTACGTAACTACTTAGCAATAGATTACTGGACTTAAAGAGGATAATCAGGGTGCGGAGTAGAAATGCAGCCATTATTGCAATTTATCTTCGATCTTGTTAATTATTTCTTACTCGAAATTATTAAGAAATACTAAAATTACTATAAGCTCCACTTTTATGTCCATCCAATATCTAATAAACAAGGAATTTTGATTTCAGCCAGTTTTTCAGAATCCTTTATTCGCAAATCACAAATAAAGATTTTAAATCGATTTATAAATCAATTTCCATTTACATTTCTTTATGAAGCATAAATAAAAAGTGATTTACAATTTAATATAAAATTGTTATTCGTTACTAGCGAATAAAATTTATCCAACTCTGTTCTGTTATAATTTGTGTTACTATAAAGCCCAAGTAGTCTTTTTTACATCCAATAGAGTTACAGTTCCTTTCCAATAAACAAAAAATTTAAATCGTAGCCAACTATTTGACACGCTCTTGAAAATATCACACTGAAACTTGCGGAATATGTTATTAAGTAGTTGAAAAAATAATCTAAAGAAAGTTCTTTCCTTGTTTCTTGATTTTGTAGTTTTTCATATTAAAATTTGTTCATCCTGCACCATAATTATACTCCTTAAGGAATCAATGGTAATTGTGTAACATCCATTATCATGATACTAATATACTCTTGGAACGAAAGGTTGTGTACATTACTGATTATAATTGTTAATACCATTATATGAATTTTGGCTAGAAAATGTACTTATTACCTTTTACTAGTTAGCGTTAGAAAGTTCATAGTCTGAACTACAAGCAACAATATAGTCTTTAATATCATATTATCAACAATGGATCAGTTCCGTTATTATCAAGAATCGTCCAATCTTGAAGGAGTTCGAAGGAATCTAATCTTAATATTTGGAACGATTACAAATTTTAAATAAATTACGCTCTAGCTAATCTTATATTTTTTCTTACAAAAAAATTAAGGCAAATTTATCTTACGAGAATAAAGTTGTGAATCGAACGAATGGTAATTATTTAGTGTAAGAAATTAAGATCCCATGACCTTGACCTTGTCGTATGTTATCAAGGACAGTATTAACATTAACCCTTACCTTTAGTTTTTTATAAATTTGTAAAAAGTGATGGCAATTGTGTTGATTGGGGTATTTAGTCCCTATGACTTCAATCTTGACAAATGTTGTCAAGGACAGCCTTTTAACACTTCAATGGCCGCATGTATCACGCGAAAATCGTTGTCCATGATATTGTACACCAAAGTGAGATACATGAAGATGCTAGGAATTATAAATGTAACGACGAACGTAATAAGTTGAATGTAGGATGAAATGGTAACTGATACAGAGTAGATCACGCGCACGTGACTATGGCCGACGTCTGCTGGCTCCCAAAGTCACATATACGTGACAGCGGCCGTCAAAGTGTTAAATAATCTCTAAGTGATTTTTCAGTTATTATTGGCTAAATAAATATTACGTATAGAATTCACACATTAACCAAGTTGATGGGGTGTCGTAGACGATTTAATCTCAATCTCAATCTACAGGGAAAAACTTTAATGGGAGATTGTAGAGGCCAAAATAAGACGAAAATCAAGAATATCAATTTTTTGACTGAGGCTTCGTTATCAAGTTATTAAAAAATTAAAATAAAAAATTTCAAATCATTCTGAAAAAATTATTTTCGGTTGCGGGGATCAATTACAATCATTTTTTATGAATAGTGATATTCCCGAAATCCAAACCATTTTGAAGAAAATAATTCAGTAAATGGACAAATATTTTGACAAAATTGAAAACTTTCAGATCGTTTTAGAAAAATTATTTTTGATTGCAGGGGTCAATTACAATCATTTTTGGTGAATAATCATAACCTCGAAATCCTAACCATTTTGAAGAAAATAATTCAGTAAATGGACAAATATTTTGACAAAATTGAAAACTTTCAGATCGATTTAGAAAAATTATTTTCGATTGCAGGGGTCAATTACAATCATTTTTGGTGAATAGTCATAACCCCGAAATCCTAACCATTTTGAATAAAAAAATTCAGTAAGTGGACAAATATTTTGACAAAATTGGAAACTTTCAGATCGTTTTAGAAAAATTATTTTCGATTGCAGGGGTCAATTACAATCATTTTTGGTCATTAGACATACACTCGAAATCCTACCCGCTTTCGAGAAAAAAATTCGAGGTGTAAAATTTTTCGACAAAATTAAAAAAATTTCAAATCGTTCTAAAAAAATTGTTTTTGGTTGCAGGGGTCGACTACAACCATTTTTGGTCAATACTCATACTTCCGAAATCCTACGCATTTTCGAGAAAAAAATTCCTTACCGAAAATATAATGTGAGGCCAGAAATGTTACCCTAAAATTTCATGCGTATCTTTAAACTGTCACAACTTCTGAACGGATTGAAGGATTTTAAAGTTTCAAAATACAAACAGCGTATATTTTGATGCAGAATGTGTAGAAATTCCAAAACCCTACAAAAAGTTGTTCGTTGACTCCGCAAAATGAGAAAAACCCCATAAAAAATGGTCCAATTTTCAAACAGCCATAACTCCTACAATAGCGAATACATTTCAATGAAACTTTTTTCTGGGGTAGAGCTCATGGATATCTACAGAAAAGTATTAGACAACTTTTCTATGGGGCGACAATCAAAATTATTAAAAATGAAAAACAAATTTTTAAGAAAAATCAACAGGTGGTAGGTGCCTAAACGAAAAAAAAAAATTTCAAATCGTTCTCGAAAAATTATTTTTGGTTGCAGGGGTCAATTACAATCAGTTTTGGTCATTAGACATACACTCGAAATCCTACCCACTTTCTAGAAAAAAATTCGAGAAGGTGTGAAATTTTTCGACGGGGAAAAAAAATTTCAAATCGTTTGGTAAAAATTATTTTCGGTTGCGGGGGTCAATTACAATCGGTTTTGGTCATTAGACATACCCTCGAATTCCTGCCCACTTTCGAGAAAAAAATTCGAGTAGATGCCTAAATGTTTCGACAAAATTAAAAAATTTCAAATCGTTCTGGAAAAATTATTTTTGGTTGCAGGGGTCAATTACAATCATTTTTGGTGAATAGACATACTCCCGAAATCCTTTGCATTTTCGAGAAAAAAATTCAGTACGAGCGGAACTTTAAACGTTAATAACTTTTTAACGAAGCCTCCATCAACAAATTCGTATTCTTGATTTTAGACCTATTTTGGCCTCTAGAATCTCCAATTACAATTTTTCTCAGGGTCTAGTACCATAAGTTAACTAGTATCAGAAATATTAACAGAAACTGAAAACTGTTTAGTCAACAACAATATGTAATTTTGTGAACACCAAATTCCCAAATGGTCGCATTGCACAATGATGGAGCGAGTCGAGCAAAGAATTTGCATCAATATTCACCAAAAACTTGGTTACACCTGTTTAGAAAAAATTCGTATCATTCGTAAAGTTTACGGAAATGACTCCATGAATGACCCGCAGATAAAAAAGTAGTTTAATTGTAAATAAGTAGGTTAATGTAAAGATAGAACTTTCTTGTTTCTTTTTTTTTCAATGAATCTTTTACCAATGTATTTATGAAGTTTTTCTAAATAAGTGAGACCAAACACGATATAATTTGGATAATATTTACTTATTAATATTAACACATTACCGACCGATAGCCTATTAATCGACTGTTTTACCGACCAACGCTTACCGGCTGAGAGCCTATCAATCAACTGTTTTACCGGCCAACGCTTACCGACCGATAGCCGATTTATCGACCGTTACCGGTCGGTAAAGTGTTAATTGCATTGCATATTGTCACTCACTAATACGTAAATATGATCGAAATTATATCGCGTCTGGATTTACTTTGATCAAAAAAAACCTCACAAACACGTTGGTAAATGTTTCGTTCAAAATAAAAATACAAAAGTGTTAATCGAGCGTCACGATGCGTTAAAGGGGATTCCCCCCTCAATGGTGGGGATGAATAACTGACAGTTATGTCATAATTCGTTTTTCGTAGTTATTCAATATTTCCTATAATTATAATACGAAAAACCAGCAATAGAAATAAACAATTGTTTATATTTGTTAATAGCTTTTTAACGAACAATGAGCGACAGCCAAAACTTTTTCGCTTGGGAAGGTGTCCTTGACAACATATATTAAAGTCAAGGTCATCGGACCTTAATCCCCTGAACTAAATAATTACCAAAATTTTATTTATAAATTCATACTTTTCGTATAAATTACTTTAAAAGTAAAAAGAAAGAAAAGATCATTCGGATTTTATCGAATTAACGATCTCACTTTATACGTATATAAAAAATAGTTTATCTTTTGAGTTAATTTCTTGTATTCATGCTTTTAACCAGTTCAAGTGCTAAAGGCGATCGGAAAATATTTGTGCGAAAAGTGTCGAGCAAACTCGATCGCGCTTCCATTTTCTGTCAAAAACCGTCACCAAAATTACTTTTTATTATTCGAGAATGCTTAAGCAATTTGGTTTATTGGAAAATAAAAATAATTAAATTTGTATTAATTCTGCAATTTTTATTTTTAATCAACGAGTAACGGATAAACTGATCGTTCATTTTTTATTCGTTATTCGAAATTTGTCCCATTTTTATGCCAAACGATAGAAACGCAATCGCGCTGCTCGACGTTCAAATGGGTAAGAAACCGTGTGGAAACATTATTTTTAACATATTATAAAACAGTTAAGTATATGGAAATATTCATCGTACATTAAGCCTTACTTTGTCGTCGTAAAAACCCTGATCGTCTGTTCTTTGTTGGCCAAGCAATCGATCGGTCTCCAGATCGGTGTCCGCCTCCTCTTCGTCCGGGCCTTCCCCCACTTCGACATCCAGGTCTTCGCACGTATGTCTAACTTCCGATTCCTCGCTGTTGTTTTCTACACAAATTCTCCGTCTGCCGTCCGATATACTAAATTTTAATTAGATGTACTTAAAGATGGACAATTGATTTATAAGTATAGGACGTGGAAAAAATTGTACAGTGTAACGGGGACCAAATAGATTATGCTGCCCAAACACGAACTTTATTCTACATATATGGGTGACAGAACTTTTAACAGTAGAACTGTAATAATGAATTCTCAAATTGAAATGTTAAAGAAAATCAATTTTAATAGGCTTCGTAAATTTTAATGAGGTTACAAAAGCAACTACTACGACAACTTTTAAGTTGTGTAGTTTACAGTTGCCTAAAATGAAAGTTTTGGTCCCGTAAACAATTTTAGGATTTTAGACTGGCAGTCAACGTGTTAATGAAAGATTCTAGAGGCCAAAATAGGATGAAAATCAAGAATACTAATTTGTAGATGGAGGCACATATTAGATTTTTGATAAGGAATTTTTTTCTCAAAAGTGCGTAGGATTTCGAGGGTATGTCTATTGACCAAAAGTGATTGTAATTGACCCCTGCAACAAAATATATTTTTTTTAAAACGATTTGAAATTTTTTAATTTTGTCGAAAAATTTCACACTTCTCGAATTTTTTTCTCGAAAATCGGTAGGAATTCGAGGATATGTGTAATGACCAAAAATGATTGTAATTGAGCCCCACAACTGAAAATAATTTTTCCAAAATGATTTGCAATATTTTTTTGCCGTCGAAAAATTTCATATCTTCTAGAATTTTTTTCTCGAAAACGGGTAGGATTTCGAGGGTATGTGTAATGACCAAAAATGATTGTAATTGAGCCCCACAACTGAAAATAATTTTTCCAAAACGATTTGCAATATTTTTTTGCCGTCGAAAAATTTCATATCTTCTAGAATTTTTTTCTCGAAAATGGGTAGGATTTCGAGGATATGTGTAATGACGAAAAATGATTGTAATTGGGTCCCACAACTGAAAATAATTTTTCCAAAATGATTTGCAATATTTTTTTGCCGTCGAAAAATTTCATATCTTCTAGAATTTTTTTCTCGAAAACGGGTAGGATTTCGAGGGTATGTCTAATGACCAAAAATGATTGTAATTGAGCCCCACAACTGAAAATAATTTTTCCAAAATGATTTGCAATATTTTTTTGCCGTCGAAAAATTTCATATCTTCTAGAATTTTTTTCTCGAAAATGGGTAGGATTTCGAGGATATGTGTAATGACGAAAAATGATTGTAATTGGGTCCCACAACTGAAAATAATTTTTCCAAAATGATTTGCAATATTTTTTTGCCGTCGAAAAATTTCATATCTTCTAGAATTTTTTTCTCGAAAACGGGTAGGATTTCGAGGGTATGTCTAATGACCAAAAATGATTGTAATTGAGCCCCACAACTGAAAATAATTTTTCCAAAATGATTTGCAATATTTTTTTGCCGTCGAAAAATTTCATATCTTCTAGAATTTTTTTCTCGAAAACGGGTAGGATTTCGAGGGTATGTGTAATGACCAAAAATGATTGTAATTGAGCCCCACAACTGAAAATAATTTTTCCAAAACGATTTGCAATATTTTTTTGCCGTCGAAAAATTTCATATCTTCTAGAATTTTTTTCTCGAAAATGGGTAGGATTTCGAGGATATGTGTAATGACCAAAGCTGATTGTAATTGAGCCCCACAACTGAAAATAATTTTTCCAAAACGATTTGCAATATTTTTTTGCCGTCGAAAAATTTCATATCTTCTCGAATTTTTTTCTCGAAAATGGGTAGGATTTCGAGGGTATGTCTAATGACCAAAAATGATTGTAATTGAGCCCCACAACTGAAAATAATTTTTCCAAAATGATTTGCAATATTTTTTTGCCGTTGAAAAATTTCATATCTTCTAGAATTTTTTTCTCGAAAATGGGTAGGATTTCGAGGATATGTGTAATGACCAAAGCTGATTGTAATTGAGCCCCACAACTGAAAATAATTTTTCCAAAATGATTTGCAATATTTTTTTGCCGTCGAAAAATTTCATATCTTCTAGAATTTTTTTCTCGAAAATGGGTAGGATTTCGAGGATATGTGTAATGACGAAAAATGATTGTAATTGGGTCCCACAACTGAAAATAATTTTTCCAAAATGATTTGCAATATTTTTTTGCCGTCGAAAAATTTCATATCTTCTAGAATTTTTTTCTCGAAAACGGGTAGGATTTCGAGGGTATGTCTAATGACCAAAAATGATTGTAATTGAGCCCCACAACTGAAAATAATTTTTCCAAAATGATTTGCAATATTTTTTTGCCGTCGAAAAATTTCATATCTTCTAGAATTTTTTTCTCGAAAACGGGTAGGATTTCGAGGGTATGTCTAATGACCAAAAATGATTGTAATTGAGCCCCACAACTGAAAATAATTTTTCCAAAATGATTTGCAATATTTTTTTGCCGTCGAAAAATTTCATATCTTCTAGAATTTTTTTCTCGAAAATGGGTAGGATTTCGAGGATATGTGTAATGACGAAAAATGATTGTAATTGGGTCCCACAACTGAAAATAATTTTTCCAAAATGATTTGCAATATTTTTTTGCCGTCGAAAAATTTCATATCTTCTAGAATTTTTTTCTCGAAAACGGGTAGGATTTCGAGGGTATGTCTAATGACCAAAAATGATTGTAATTGAGCCCCACAACTGAAAATAATTTTTTCAAAATGATTTGCAATATTTTTTTGCCGTTGAAAAATTTCATATCTTCTCGAATTTTTTTCTCGAAAATGGGTAGGATTTCGAAGATATGTGTAATGCAGCTGTGCGCAGGTTGCCCATCCACAGGCGGAACTTTAAACGTTAATAACTTTTTAACGAAGCCTCAATCAACAAATTTTCGTCTTAATTTGGCCTCTGGAATCTTCCATTAGAATTTTCCCCAGGGAAGACCAAACACTCTGTATACAATAGTTGTTACTATTTAACTGTAAACATATCTTACTGCGATCAGTTGTTTCTTGGAAGTATCGAAGAAAAAAAGCAATTTGAGTTTACAATTATTCGTAATATCGTACAGTTCCTTGTTCTAAATACGAATTCAAAAGCAGAGTTGTTCTTTTCTTTGAATTTTTGTAAAAAAAGCACGATTTTTTGGCAAAAATGAGATATTACGTGCCAATGATGGGAAATTTCAGTTATTCTTCTGAAACGAAAGATCTTACAGGAAATCCCAGTGAAGAACTCATTGTTGCAAATGTTAATAGTTGAATATAAAAATGGAAAATTCAATTTTGATAGACACTATGACATGGAAGGTACGCAGTAGTATTTAATAAAAGTAAAGGCTACCTCGATTCTTTTACGTACAAACTTATTTGCGCATTAAAAACTTATACGAATGGCTTTTCATAAATAAATTGTAATGCAAGCAATGTAATGCTACGACTTTAAAGTAGCAAGAATCCATTTGGCCCGTGGTATAATCAGGAACGTAACTTGGCTAACGTATCTACCTATTACTCACTATTTTTATCTTCATCGATGTTTGTTAACATTAACAGTATTATGGTATTATGTATTTCAACTAGTTCTAACCAATTGGAAGATAAAAAGGTACACAAAGAACAGATACTTCTTTCCTGACAATACCACGATTTCTTTCCGCATCCTAAATAAAGCTAAGAAATACGTAACTAATTTAGCGAGTAAAACTTTCATTGTTTCATGATATGTTACGTTATAATTAAAACAACGGTTTCAACAATGAAAGTAAACACATTATGGTATTTATAATAAAAGCATACGGTTGCAAATGTAAACCACATTGATTAAAGTTTAAATCTTGCAAGGAAAGAAAAAAAAATGAGAACGCGTTTTAAAGATACATGTAGCTTGTCTCCATCGTGTGGGACACCCTGTATACGTATAAATTCAGCATAATGAAAACTCTTTTGTCTATTTTACATTAAACGCATACAAGAATTTCAAGGTTATTGAATGAATTTTAGAGAAAAGAAAGTAAAATACCTTGGTATCCAAATTGGACTGACGTTGGATTCAAGAGGTTCCTCCGTAGAAGATTTAACAGGTAATGTCTTAGTCCTTTGCAAAGCCATTCTAATATCTTTGATAGCAGCCTCCACTTCCCCGCCTACTTCTAAATTAACAATTTGCCTAGCTTGTGGTGCTGGTGGCGGTGGTGTGCCAAGAGGATCCAAACCATCAAGCTGTAACTCATTCGTGTCGTACGAGTTCTCCTTTTTGGGAATGAACAGATCAGGCGATGAACTTTTCAAAGAGTGCAAGATATCTTTGCCGACTGTCAAACCGGAAACCTCTTTCCCGACTTGATCGCTCTCCGTTGCAGTAGGATAACTAGTTTCGTTGACACGACTTCTCTGAATAATCTCCTTCTCGATCTCGTTGATTTGTCGTTTCATCAGCATCACAGTTGGATTATTGTTATCGGTATCGCTGGCATGGCCGCTGGACAGACCATCTTCGAGGACTGGCATACTGGTGTATATTCTTAAAGAGTCGGAATTGTTTCCCAAGTCGCCGACCGATCCGAGTAGCCCGCTGGCCGGTATTAATTCATTGTCCATCATCATTAAAGATACTTCACTGTCGAGGTCTCCGCAGTTACTGTCGCAGTCAGTCGTTTCGGGGCTTAAAGTAAAATTACGAGAATGCCCGACTTGTAACCCGACCTCTGTTTCTCCAAGATCTTCGCTGCTACCAGTGCCAACCGAAAGGTCCAAGAAATTGTTTTCGTGTTCACCAGACTGAAATACAAATAAACAACTGAGTTTAAGTAAATAGATAGATAATAGTAATATCATTAGAAAATTAATATAATCAGAGATTAATATTTTTAAACCTTATTTCTCCCAAAGATGTCAAGACACATCTTTCAAAATTTTAATTTGGAATTTAATCATATTTCCTCAATAACATGATATTAAAAATAACACAATTATTTCCACGGTCATTTGCATCCAAATGCAATGGTGTCAAGAAACACCTTTTAATCGAAATAGGAACAGAGGCAAACTAAAAATTTGTACATGATTATAATTATGTAAATCAAACCAATATCCAATTATACTTATAACAAATAGAAAAGTAAATTATAATCTATGAGATAGATACGTCTTCAGTACTATTTTTGTCCTGAATAGCTTTAAAGATCAACTAACTTGACCCGTTTCATAATTCTAAATAAAGAAAGTTATTACTAAATCATCATCGAAAGGAATCGTTACGCTTTCTTTTGTACCTCTTTCTCTTTGATTTCACGAAATGATTTGATTAACACGAAAGAAGTTCATACATTCTGTGTTACACGTACGCTTACATTTTGTGGAAAATAAGTCCATACATTCTGTGTTACACGTACGCTTACATTTTGTGGAAAATAAGTCCATACATTCTGTGTTACACGTACGCTTACATTTTGTGGAAATTAAGTCCATACATTCTGTGTTACACGTACGCTTACATTTTGTGGAAAATAAGTCCATACATTCTGTGTTACACGTACGCTTACATTTTGTGGAAAATAAGTCCATACATTCTGTGTTACACGTACGCTTACATTTTGTGGAAATTAAGTCCATACATTCTGTGTTACACGTACGCTTACATTTTGTGGAAAATAAGTCCATACATTCTGTGTTACACGTACGCTTACATTTTGTGGAAAATAAGTCCATACATTCTGTGTTACACGTACACTTACATTTTGTGGAAAATCAGTTCTATGTTTCTTGGGAGATTCGTGTACTAAAACCTCCTCTGTTGTTGGTAAACCGCTAGCCAATCGTTGGCCAACATATGCATTTCCTCCTTGCCTTCGCAATTCGTAATCAAGATCCTAAAATAAAAAACATAATAATAAATAAAATAAGGAATCGATATCAAACATTTTAATTTAGAATAAATTTCGAAAAAGAGAGAAATTAAGAATATTATGATACAGTCAGCGACAAAATTGAATGGGCACCCATTTGCGTTAGAGAAAGACAGTAAATTAGGAACCTTTTCTAATTAATTGCCACCTTTTTAATTCCTCGTTATAGTTTACATATTTATAAAGATATTTCGTAAGTTGTTTTATGTAATAAAGTGGTTTATTTTGAATAAGAATATTTACAAGCCTGAAAAATACGAAACAGTGTGGACATTATCATTTTTTCTCTATTTTACTATATTTACATTCTTTTAATATTTTATATTTCCTTCTGTAGCTTTAATAACTGCTTTTAAACGTTTTGGGATATTTTCTACGCAATGTTCGGATGATGTTTTTCATTATACTTTTCCATGAATGTTGTAAACTGCTGGAAAACAAAATTTTACCTGATTTTGCTAGTAATTAATGTTCCTTTATCCAATAAGGCTCATAAGTTTTCTATTCAAAAGCTCTAAATCTTTAAAAAAATTCATGGCTCTTTTTACTTTGCGTATCGAAGCATAATACACAAATTCTTCCAAATTTTCATTTATTAAATTAACATATCGAACAGCATTACAGAATTCATTAATTAATGTCAAATTTCCAGCAGCGAACCAAGAAAAGCACACCATAATGGAACCTCCACTGTTTTATGGTTTGCGAGATGAATTTTAGTCTAACGAGATGAATAATATCCACACTGTTTTCTTTTTCTGAAACTTATAAACATTCTTACTCAAAATAAACCACTTTATTTCTTTATTTCTGTCTTTATAAGTGTGTAAATTAGACTTGAAGCCTTTTTTATCTAAAACAAACGGGTGTCCACTAAATTTTGTCCCCCGACTGTATATTATCCACAATTATTCAATTAGTGAAGCCCTAAAATAAAAATTTGTTTGTTTTTACAGTTTTATTAACTGATTAATACTTAAAAATAGAGGAAAAATTCACTAAATAATTGTATTTCATATCAGGAAATTTGACGACCAAACAGTTCTTTATTTTGGAACAATCTAAGTCGTGTAAACATTTACATGCACTTGTTCTTAAAATTGTATTTTCGAAATAGGTACCAAAAGTATTTTTAAACCTGCAGAACCGATTTATATTAAATTTTTAAAAGTTATTCTACTGTAATATACACTCCTCATAAATCTAATGCTCAAAATAAAAACTTCTTCTCAAAACCAACGACTTTTGCTTAAAATACGCTGTTTTAACAGCTGTCATTTTTTCAAAAATTAATTTTTCCAAAATTAGCTATAAAGACCAGATTTACGCGTTAACGCATTTTTTTTTTGTATTTAATTTTAATTAAACATGATGGAATATACTGAAATCATTATTTATAGTACATATACGATTGATACCACAAACCTAATAACTTTATAGCATTCTTTAAACCTGATTTATTCAAGTAACAATTTATTCCTTTTTTGAAAGCCGAATAAATGTGATTAATAGATCAATAGATAAGAATAGTTTATCACAATTCAGCAACAATTTGTATTCATCAACAATTCCAATAATTTTTTAATGAATGTGGTAGCAAATTAAATATTTGGAACATTAAAACACTTTATCAATAGATATTCGCCATAACGTTAAATGTTATTGTATATATTGTGTATCAATTTTTAAACATTTTCATACACTTATTATGAACTTATAAAATGTATGAATTTCTGCATTTATACAATTTTTTCCAGAATTTATAACTAATTTATAAAATTTGGAAGTTCTACTTGCAAAATATTTAAATAAAAAATAATTCCTCTTTTACGAAAAATACCTTCTACTTTCCCCTTAGCCTTAATGAATATTTATTTAAATAAAATTTCGCTCCAATAAATTTTCATTGAGAATGAATCCATGTTCGCTATTCAGAAATTATAACCAGTTTGCTGATTTTCAACAACGTTAAAAGTAAAACAAATTAATAAATGTTCCATTTCCAGTAGAACGAAAAAGGGGAAATAATTGCACAAGAATATCTACTCCTATCGTACAAATTTGTTTTATATTTTAATAAAAATAAAATATGGAAAGTACTCGTACCTGAAATGGAAAAGATTCAGCGATGTTTTCTTTTTCTTTTGTTGGCGGTGGACACTTAAAAAATTCTTCGAGTACTTTTCGCGTTTCCGAGAATTCGTACAAATAATCGAATGTACTGCCACCGGATGATACGAGATTACTTATATTGTCAGTGGGCAATGTTGATGGTTTTAAAGAATCCTCTTCTTCATCTTCGATTTTTGGAGATGCAGGAGATTCATTTGCAGCTTGATCATCAGAGTAATTAATATTTGTTTCTACCACAGCCTTGTCTACGATGATTTCCGCAGAAGTGTCCTCCTTCTTTAAAATAAAGAATTAATTCAATTAATATCGATGTATTTAATTGAAGTATCGTTGTAACGTAACATTAGGAAAATAATAGAGACACACTCGCAATGTAAAATAATAGAATAAAAAAAGAATTAAGTGATAAGTTTTATTTTATTAATGTTCGCATCTTCTGTCTTCTATTAACTTATTCCTTGTCATTAATAATTCTTCTTAATTTATTATATAATCAATTAAATACAGTTTAACACATACGCTGCCTGCATACGAATGATTTAATTCCTATATATTGTTTTAAGTTTTTAATTACACTACCGAGACAATTAATACACTTTATTCAGAATATCTTATAGAATTTTTAAAGCAATTCCTAAACGTGTTAAAAAATAAACGAATTAAGTTCAACGGAGAACAATTTATTTGTAAATCTTAAATTCAAGTTTGATACCTCGTTGTGACTTGGTGTCGTTGGCAATACTCTTTGTGGGAATCCAGGTCTCGGTGTCATGTATACGGATGGTGACGATAGAAGGCAAGGAAGCTGAGTGTCACGTACTCCATAACGTCTTGGACTTTCAGAATACTGTGCTATTGGTAATTCACCGATCACTCTTGCCACTTTGTGATTGCGTTCTGAGGATGGTGAATCTACTTCGCAATCACTAGCTGGCGTAATTACCTAAAAACACATTTCATATAGAAAATATTTGATTTAAAAACCGTTTGACTTAATTTTTCCTTTATTAGAATACGTTAAAGATATTTTATCCTCAAAACATTTAATGTAATCTTTTAATAATAGATCAAAATACATTTTTGTAAAACGTGAATGTACAATTTATTTATTTGTTATTCAAGGAAAATGTAGGGGAACAAAAAGTAATTGAAACATACCTTAAAAAATTCTGAAGTATTACGATATGCTGTTGTTGGACTCGGAGTACTTCCAATGCTAGAACTTGGCGGTTCCGGAGGGATACGACCTCTTTGGGACTCTTCGGATTCAAGATTTAAATTAGTAGACGTAACTTGATTGGTATTATTAGAAGTTAAATCTAGTCTTAAATTTTGCCAGTTATCATCAATGTCATCGAACACAACAACTTCACCATCACTGACGATAGCCATACTTCTTGCCGGTGTTGTATGATTCGACTGATAATCTATACAACCCTTCGATAATCCATAATCGAGATCCATAATATTTTTTGGTATACTGTATTCTACATTATTGCTATTCAAAATTGAGTCATAATTAATAATACGATTACTGTGATTGCTCTTTGGAGAATCATAATCGAGGATAGATTTTGTTGGATTATGCCGCACCGAATGTATTTCCGAAGCAAATACAGTTTCTGTTACTTCCCTATTAGAACGCTGCTTTCTTATATCACCACATCTGAAAATGTACATACAACTCTTCTTTATTGAAAACAATATATAAATAATCTATCAAATACAACAAATATTTTAAGAAATTAAATTTTTATTTGCGTAAGTATCTATAAAAAGTTTTTCACTTACCGACTTCTTAATTCCCATATAGTTTGTGTATTTGGAGATTTATTATTTCTTTTAATTGATTGCTTGTTATCCGTTTGAATATCTTCGTTATTTAAGGAATTTGATGCGGCAAGAAAGCGTGATTTTCTAGCCGCTACTTTACCCCTACTTTGAGAAAAAACTTCCCGTCCGCCAGCAATTTCTATAATTCTGGAACAGATAATTGTTATCGAACAAAAGTATACGTAAAATGTACGTAAATTATAAAACATTATTTGAGGAATGTTTCTCTTTCAAAGGAACGCAAATAAGCTATTATCTAGCGAGTTTAAGATATGCGCATAAAAATGTAACAAGAATATAAAATTATACAAGATACAATGTTCTAAAATTATTTATTACTATTGCGCCTCGCAAAATTAAAATAAATTACTTATGTAATTTTAGAACCTAAAAACAGAACAAGTACAGAATTATATGAAAGAATTTGTAAATGTTACGTCTTCTACAAAACCTAAAAGATTTGATTCTGAAAGAAAACTAAAAATAAATACTTAAAATACAGTACTTTTATTCGAATATGTTTAGAACTGGTAAAACTTTATTTTATAACATATTCGTACTTCTTTGATTTGGTATTTACAATTTGAAGGTTATAAACAATTGTTAACTCACATTAATAATATTCATTTCACGTTTCTTTTTAAATAAATAAAATCGTTAAACGATTAAACGTATTTATCAAAAAGTTTTAACAGTTATTTTGTACTTTTTTTTTTCTTATACACTTCGTAGCAAAATAGGAATTGTAACAATATATCACACGAATGTTACATGCTTATAGACATTTGAAAATATAATTAGTTTTTTTTTTAAATATTTAATGTCTTATTGTGTAATAAGTTACTTTAAATTAGAAACACTAAAAACTTTGGTTAAAGATCACTCGTAAATACACTTGTATATGTTTTTATATAAATTTATAGGAAATATAATTTCATCTCTTCAAATAATTTTTGAAAAATGCATCGAACTATTATTTGCCAAGTATCTAGAACCTCATCTTTAAATGGCTGTTTATAGTACACCCTACAAATCGTGTAAACAAAGAGTACCAATAGATTTAATTGTAACGCCGAATATATTATTTACTTCATGTGTCTCACTTACTCTTCGCTAACAAATCTGTTTATTTAACATTTTATTTTTACTATTATATACGATCTACATATTAGATATATATTTTTTTCAAGAATCACCATAAAGAAATCTCAAGAACATCCATGATGTACCTAACCTAACATTAATTGCTATACAATATCTACAGACTATATTTCGATCGTGTCATTAACAAGTTTATCAATTATTTCTGAATTTACGTAAAAAATTTCTAGACACTTTACTTCACATCGGATTGCATGGCTCCATGTATAATGCAATAAACATATTTTCTTTTCAATTATTTGTTCTTCGTTCAGAAATCAATATAAAAAAGAAGCAACATTCAAATTAATTACAATTTTGAAATAAATACATTGTGTACTTTAATTTATTATTCCATTAATAAAATCACTCTTTGTTATTAAGCCAATAAAATATCAAAATATTATTTGAAGATTGAACTCGTCGTATCTTACAACTTTATACTCGAGTACAACAATGGATTTCAGAATATCATTTGTCAAATGCTTGCATCTATCTGCAATATTTGAAAACTATAAACATTAAAATGTATATACATTTGTAATATTATGTATTATTACGTAAAATCTATTTATAAAGTTTTTAAAATTACTCTCTATTTAAAAGAATAAATAGTTAATGTATTTTAGTATCGACTATTGCTGATTGTACAAGTTTTAAATCTTTTACATATAATTATGACTTATAATCAATGTGTCTGTATATTATTTTTTTATTCTTCGAATAATGTTATATTTCATCGTTTATACAAGGTGTTCATGAAATACGTAGCCAAACTTTAGGAACATATACTACTTATAGTAACGAATAAAAAGAGTCATATGAACATAAATTTAAAACGTTTCTTTTGAAAGTTATTATGTTTTGTTTAAACTACAATACTGTATAATGTGTCGTAGACTATTAAAGAAGTTTCAAAATGCATAAAGCATTTAAAATTTTATTGTATAGACTAACAAGAAGAGGATATCATAACCAGAAACCTTAAGTGTGTTTCCATAAATAAAAACTTAACCCTTTGACTGCGAAAGGTTTATATATACACCTTTACAAGTCTATTAATATATACTAAAGGCGAATATATATGCTCTCACAAGTTTATTGATATATACGAAAGGCGTATATATGTACACACTCTCACAAGTCTATCAATGTATATGAAAAACGTATTATATTACCGTACATATTATATTATTATTGAAGGAATGTGCAAGTTAAATAAATTAAAAATAGCTTAGATAGTGTGGCACTCTTCTGAGAGTGTACTACAGTCAAAGAGTTAAAGCATTTATATTAAGGAAACAGATTATGTAATCGATCCTCCTTTACCAATTTATCAGTTAATGAACTCGTTAACCTATTAAGAAACTTGAGCAGTGTAACTATACTCAATCTAAATCGTACATAAACCATATATGATTATATATCTTCAATGGAACATACAATTTACAATGATTTGAAATTAACACGTTCAATCGCAAGTATTGTTAGTGTTTACTTCTAACAGAAAGAAAATATAACATATAAACATATTTATTCGATCCATGTGTGAAACACAATCTTAAACTTTGGCTACGTATTTCAGAATCACCCTATACCGTAGAAGAATAAAATAGTTTACCTGGAATCTCTTAATTTATAACTGCGGTCACCCTTAGCAGATGTTAAAATGTATACAGGGCTTTCTTCGGGACCGCTATCATCTTGTTGCGAGTGACCCTGATGATCGCTACCTGGAAGGCTACCATACTGTGGTACGTCTTCGCTACGCCCAGAGGCAGATGAGGAACTCGAGGAAAGTGGTTTCGTATTAAGTGTGCCAAGTGAACCGAATGTTCCAAGTGGACTACTAACACCACCATTACCACCACTGATACCAACAGACAGTTGACTCTCCCCTGCGAAACCGGACACCATACTTGTTGTCCTGCAAAGCACAAATGTACACAATTACTAGAAATATTACGATTGGTCTTATATGCTACATATTTATTATATCATATTGTTGTCTGATACGTTAATATAATGCAATTATAAATTTGGATATACCGTAAAACATATATCAGTAGCATGTTCAGCATTGTTCTTTAATGCTATAGTAAAACTTCGACATCTGCAGTTTGTTATAGTAAGAAAAGAAAAGGAAGTAATGTGGAAATTAGAAAAGTTTTTTGAAATGTGTCAAATTCCACAAACCTTAAAGAATAAAATTATTGAATATGATGCTTTTGTGAAACGAAGGATTAAAGTTACATGAATGATTACAACAACATACAAGTAAAGTTGCAAAGAAATATTTTAATGAAAATAATATTAATTTACTGTATTGGCCAGCGCAAAGTACAGATCTTAACCCGATCGAACATTTATGGGACCATTTGGACAGAAACGTAGATGAAGACTGCACAAATAATGAAATCTTGTTCCAGAGGGCATTATCAAAAGCGTGGTTTGAAATAGACCAACATACAATTGATAAATTAATAGAAAGTATGCCAAGAAGACTTCAGGAAGTCATAAACAATCGAGGATATCAAACTTCATACTAAGTTCATACTTTCAGTTATTTCAAATTTTATTTTTCTATAAAATTACTTATTGTCAACATACTTTCCGCAGATGGCTAATACATATATCATATTGTTTTGTAGCTAATAAAAGTCATATCTGATTTGTCATACAATGTATATTTTGTTACATACTATTAATCAATATTTGTTAATTGTTTAAAAAATATTCTTTTGAAACTTGTCAACATACTTTACTGCTGGAATGGGTAGTTTGAAATTTATGTTTAAAATATAAATATTTTGAACAAAAATTTAAAAGTCATTCACCGAAAAATTAGGAATTTTAGACCACTTTAAATTTTATAGTGACAACAATCCCAAACACACGTCGCATGTAGCCAGGATATAACTGCTTAATAATTAATCCAAAGTAATAAATATTGCCTCTGCTATCATTTGATTTAAACGTGATAGAATATGTACATCTGATATGAATTAAAAATTAGAATTCGGATACACCATTAAAAATAAGATTGATTTTAAGAAAACATTAATAAAGAAACAGGGTAAAATTGATACGATCGATACCAAATAGATTGCGTGAGGTGGAACGTAATCGTGAAAATCGAATAAAAAATTAAGGTTTAATTTAAGCAATAATCAATTTTGTTTAACTGTATGATTTTAGTTGTGAGGCGTTTTCCAAATTGAATTCAACTAACTTTATTGTTTTGTGTATATAAACAGATTCATTTCTTTTTGTATTACTATTTACTAAATACAGATAAAAAGTTAATAAAAAATTAAATTAAAAAATTTCAAATCATTCTGAAAAAATTATTTTTGGTTGCGGAGGTCAATTACAATCATTTTTGGTGAATACACATACCCCCGAAATCTTACCCAATTTTGAGAAAAAAATTCGGGTAAGTGCTGAAATTTTTCGGCGAAAAAAAGATTTTGCAAATCGTTCTAAAAAAATTATTTTCAGTTGCAAGGATCGATTACAATCATTTTTGGTCATTACACATACCCCCGAAATCCTACGCATTTTCGAGAAAAAAATTCCTGACCGAAAATCTAACGTGAGACCAGAAATGCTTCCTTGAAAAACACCATAAAAATGGTCCAATTTTCAAACAGCCATAACTCCCACAATAATGAATATGTTTCATTGAAATTTTGGGGGGAAGTAGAGTTCATGGATACCTACAAAAAAGTGTGACACAACTTTTCTGTACACCGGCAACCAAATTTATTAAAAATGAAAAACGAATTTTTACGAAAAATCGACAAGGGAGCCCAAATTCGGCGAAAAAAAATTTCGAATCGTTCTAAATAAATTATTTTTGGTTACGGGGGTTAATTACAATCATTTTTGGTGAGTACCCATACCTCCGAAATCCTACGCATTTTCGAGAAAAAAATTCGAATAGGTATGAAATTTTTCGACAAAATTAAAAAATTTTCAATCGTTCTAGAAAAATTATTTTTGGTTTCTGGGGTCAATTATAATCATTTTTGGTGAATAGACATACCCCTGAAATCCTACCCACTTTCCAGAAAAAAATTCGAATATGTGTGAAATGTTTCGACAAAATTAAAAAATTTCCAATCGTTAAAAAAAAATTCTTTTTGGTTGCTGGGGTCAATTATAATCATTTTTGGTCATTACACACACCCCCGAAATCCTACGCATTTTCGAGAAAAAAATTCCTGACCGAAAATCTAACGTGAGACCAGAAATGCTTCCTTGAAAAACACCATAAAAATGGTCCAATTTTCAAACAGCCATAACTTCCACAATACTGAATATGTTTCATTGAAATTTTGGGGGGAAGTAGAGTTCATGGATACCTACAAAAAAGTGTGACACAACTTTTCTGTACACCGGCAACCAAATTTATTAAAAATGAAAAACGAATTTTTACGAAAAATCGACAAGGGAGCCCAAATTCGGCGAAAAAAAATTTCGAATCGTTCTAAATAAATTATTTTTGGTTACGGGGGTTAATTACAATCATTTTTGGTGAGTACCCATACCTCCGAAATCCTACGCATTTTCGAGAAAAAAATTCGAATAGGTATGAAATTTTTCGACAAAATTAAAAAATTTCCAATCGTTCTAGAAAAATTATTTTTGGTTGCAGGGGTCGATTACAATAATTTTTGGTGAATAGATATACCTCAAAAATCCTACCCACTTTCGAGAAAAAAATTCGAGAAGGTGTGAAATTTTTCGACAAAATTAAAAAATTTCAAATCGTTCTGGAAAAATTATTTTTGGTTGCTGGGGTCAATTATAATCATTTTTAGTGAATAGACATACCCCCGAAATCAGACCCAGTATCGAAAAAAAAAATCGACACTAAAAAATACCACGTGTAGTCTTCCGTATGCTAGAGTGGGATAGTAAACTTGAAGATAAAGAGAGTCAGGGCATAAACAAACGAAAACCGATCCTCCTGTTACCATTGCCTGAACAGAATATCAAAATAATACCGGTATTTATTTCGGTATTCGGTAGGATATTACGAGGATCGTTCAATAAGTCCTTAGAAAAGGATAGAAAAATAAATTATTTTAGGCAGATTTTTTCTAAGGACTTATTGAACGACCCTTGTAGTTCCACTATAGCTTTGCTGTAATAATACCGGTATAAAGCTCCCGGCTATGGGACACCCTGTATATTTGTCCGGTACATTCAACGTAGTATCCGACGAAGAATAATGATCGATAAATCAAAATAAGCTTACCTATCGGAGATGTCGCGCTCGAGGTCGATCATGTCTTCGGGTATCTCACGTGAATGATTCGAATGTGTGTTCTTGGAGGCGATTGCACGGGTGGTTGTGAGAGTGTTTGCGAACGTAGTCGCGAATGTACTCGTAAGGCTGGTGGTAACAGAGGCGGCCTCCTTCTGACAGAGGCTTTCATGCGGCTGACTAATCTGCGTGGAGGCCCCCGGACTCGGGGGTGGGCCACCCCTAGGCCGACATTTCGGGAAAAGTCGGTTCAAGTCTGCGTTTTCCAAGATCAGGCTTGTCATCGCCACTCCACATTCATCTCTTTTAACAGCCTGTCCATTCTAAAACATTGCAATATATCAAAACTTGACTATTTCCATTAATATATGTATATTGTACACAGGGTGTTCGGCCAGCCCTGGGAAAAATTTTAATGGGAGATTCTAGAGTCCAAAATAAGACGAAAATCAAGAATACCAATTTGTTGATTGAGGCTTCGTTAAAAAGTTATTAACGTTTAAAGTTGCGTCTGTAAATAAGCAATCTGCGTACAGCTGCGCGCGCACGATAGCTGTTCTACAGCCACAACTTTAAACGTTAATAACTTTTTAACGAAGCCTCGATCAACAAAATGGTATTCTTGATTTTCGTCTTATTTTGGCCTCTAGAATCCCCCATTAAAATTTTTCTCAAAGATGACCTAACACCCCGTATATGTATATCATACAAAACTAAATGTCAATACTCGAAAGAAACTAGACGAATGAAAATAATTGTTCAACTTCGTTTATTGCTAATAATTTGGTTAATATTTTATTACTTCTTTTTCTTTTTGTGTAATACACAAGTATTTCATATATTCAATGTTATAGCAAATGTGCAAACAAGCTCCATGATAATAAAGTAGAGGACAACATTTGATACAAACATTATCGTACAAAACTAAATGTCAATACTCAAACGAAACTAGACGAATGAAAATGATTGTTCAATTTCGTTAACTATTGCTAACAATTTGGTTAATATTTTATTACTTCAATATTCAATGTTATAGCAGATGTGCAAACAAGCTCCATGATAATAAAGTAGAGGAAACATTTGATTTGGAACCGTTGCGAATACGTTATTTATAATCGTCTGGTTACGATACGGTAATAAACTTGCAAAATTGGTTAATTCTAAACTAAGCTCAAACTGGCGGCTCAGTTATTGATTAAGTTATTGATAGATAAATACATGTATCGCATGTGATATTTCCAATACATAACGCCGCGCGCGTAATTTTTTTCTGGATAATATAAAAAGTTATTTTCGTTGCGAATTTTATAAAGTGTTTATCAGAGAAACACAATTTTCGTTGAAATTATAATTATAATTAACTGAATTTATTATGATTATAATTACTAAAATTGGTAGAAAAATTAATTTTGCAGAGCGAAAAGATAATATATTTAAAAAAAAAAAAATTAACAGATAATTTGGAAAACAAGCTTTTATACAGGGTGTTCGGGAACCCCTGGGAAAAATTGTAATGGGAAATTCTAGAGGCTAAAATAGGACGAAAATCAAGATATGAAATTTTTTTTTTCGTCGAAAAATTTAGGCACCTACTCCCTGTCGATTTTTCTTAAAAATTCGTTTTTCATTTTTCACAAATTTGTTTGACGCTGTACGGAAAAGTTGCCTAATGCTTTTTTGTAGGTATCGATGGACTCTAGATCAGAACAAAATTTCAATGAAATATATTCATTATTGTAGGAGCATGGCTCTTTAAAAATTGCAATACCTACTCGAATTTTTTTCTCGAAAGTGGCTAAGATTTCGGGGGTATGTGTATTCTCCAAAAATGATTGTAATTAACCCCCGTAATCGAAAATAATTTTCCCAGAACGATCTGAAATTTTTTAATTTTGTCGAAAAATTTCATACCTAATCGAATTTTTTTCTCGAAAGTGGGTAGGATTTCGGGGGTATGTCTATTCACCAAAAATGATTATAATTGTCCCCTGCAATCGAAAATAATTTTTCCAGAACGATTTGAAATATTTTAATTTTGTTGAAAAATTACACACCTCGAATTTTTTTCTCAAAAGTGGGTAGGACTTCGAGTGTATGTCTAATGACCAAAAATGCTTGTAATTGACTCCTGTAACTAAATATAATTTTTTTAGTATGATTTGAAATTTTTTAATTTTGTCGAAAAATTTCACACCTTCTCGAATTTTTTTCTCGAAAGTGAGTAGGATTTCGAGTATATATCTAATGACCAAAAATGATTGTAATCGACCCCTGCAACAGGAAATAATTTTTCCAGAACAATTTGAAATTTTTTAAGTTTGTCGAACAATTTCACACCTTCTCGAATTTTTTTCTCGAAAGTGAGTAGGATTTCAAGTGTATGTCAAATGACCAAAAATGCTTGTAATCGACCCCTGCAACTGAAAATAATTTTTTGAGAATGATTTGAAATTTTTTTTCAATTTTTTAATAACTTGATAACGAAGCCTCAATCAACAAATTAATATTCTTGATTTTCGTCTTATTTTGGCCTCTAGAATTTTCTTTAGTAATATCTCTAGACATTTCTTTAGTAATATCTTGGAAACTATATGTATAATTCCCAAAACTAAAACTTTATATTTGGCATTCGTTTCCCCGCCCCCCTCGCCCCTCCAAATTTCATATCGATCGCCCCGCGGTGTCATTTAAAAGGATATCGAATGTTAGTTAGTAAAATACTATTTTAATCCAACTCGAATATGTACAGCATTGATGGAATACGAAGTAGCCAAATCTAACTTAGTATTTCGGAAATTAATTAATTCACGAAGTTAAAATGGTATATTTTTCATCCTTTTTCTCTTCCATTTAATCTCTTGAAATTTCACATCGATTGGCCGCGGGTACCTTTCGGAAGAACAAACTCTTGTATTGGTTTAATTATGCTCCTCACTGTACCTATGTCTCGTATGAGTCATACGAGGAACCAGGGTCAGTACGGTACTAAGCTGTGCACATACACAGGGAGGCAGACTTAAAATGTGCCGATTGTATCTACTGATGATGCCAGTGACCTCCTATTGATTCCACGCTCAACGATGCACAGACTAAACCCTTGTCCTCTCTCACGCCCTGCACATACTTTCTTGTTTTTTTTTCCCTCCCTTCACCTTTCATCTTCCTTTCTTTCTGTTCCTTCTGTTAATGTCTTCGTATTTTTCTCAAATCCGCAGCATTCTTTTCTTTTTCCCTTTATCTTGTTCTGTTCGTTCGTTTCGACTGAAACTCGTATTTCCCTACTACGGCTTTCTTTGTACATCCCTTTTAGCTTCAGTCCCCCCCTCCTAACCCCTCTCCTGTTCCTCCTACGTCTTTTCTTTCTTTTTACCATTATCCGTGTCCTATTACTTCATCCATTTCTCTTCATCATCCGTCTTCGTCGTTTTATTTTCATTCCTACCCTTTCTCTCACTGCTTTCATTGTACGTATCTTCCCTAATGTAAATCTCTCGTACGGCAACATAATACCGCGATCGTTGCGAAATAGTATCGCAAACACGATAACGACGATGCAAATCACTTTCTACTTCGCAAAACTGTTCCAATACAGGGTGTTCGGACAACCCTGGGAACAATTTTAATGGGGGATTCTAGAGGCCAAAATAAAACGAAAATCAAGAATACCAATTTGTTGATGGAGGCTTCGTTAAAAAGTTATTAACAATTAAATTCAAAAATTTCAAATCGTTCTGGAAAAATTATTTTTGGTTGCGGGGTTCAATTACAATCATTTTTGGTGAATACACATATCACCGAAATCCTATCCACTTTCGAGAAAAAAAATCGAGAAGGTGTGAAATTTTTTGACGGGAAAAAAAAATTTCAAATAATTCTGGAAAAATTATCTTTGGTTGAGGGGGTCAATTACAATAATTTTTGGTGAATAGACATATCACCGAAATCCTATCCACTTTCGAAAAAAAAATTAGTGTTAGGGTAGGTGCTGAAATTTTTAGACGAAATTAAAAAATTTTTTAAATTGTTCTAAAAAAATTCTTTTCCATTGTGGGGGTCAATTACAATCATTTTTTATCATAACGCATACCCCCGAAATCCTGTGCACTTTGGAGAAAAAAATTCCTTACCGAAAATCTAATTAGGTGCCTAAATTTGACGAAAAAAAAAATTTCAAATCGTTCTGGAAAAATTATTTTTAGCTAAGGGAGTCAATTACAATCATTTTTTGTGAATAGACATACCCCGAAATCCTACCCACTTTCTAGAAAAAAATTCGAGAAGGTGTGCAATTTTTCAACGGGAAAAAAAAATTTCAAATCGTTTTGAAAAAATTATTTTCCATTGTGGGGGTCAATTACAATCATTTTGTATCATTACGCATACCCCCGAAATACTGCCCATTTTCGAGAAAAAAATTCCTTACCGAAAATCTAATTAGGTGCCTAAATTCGACGAAAAAAAAATTTCAAATAATTCTGGAAAAATTATCTTTGGCTGCGGGGGTCAATTACAATCATTTTTGGTGAACAGACATACCCCCGAAATTTTGCGCATTTTCGAGAAAAAAATTCAACACTGACGGAACTTTAAACGTTAATAACTTTTTAACGAAGCCTTCATCAACAAATTGGTATTCTTGTTTTTCGTCTTATTTTGGCCTCTAGAATCTCTCATTAAAATTTTTCACAGGGTTGACCGAACACCCTGTATAATCATGTATTTCATATGTATTGTAATGAATTGATAATTGCTAATAAGTAGACTGCGGATATTTATGCATTTATGGGAAATTTAGATTGTCAAAAAACAATAGAATGCATTCAATATGCAAAAATATAACAAAAACTCAAGTAAGATAAGAATTATTGTATTTAGGGGTTGAAAGAACCCTCTACGAAGCTCTTATTTTATTAATTTTATTAATAAATATATGAATTTGCATAAAAATCCGCAGTCTACTAATAAGTAATTCATGTACAATGTGAATAACTAATTCATTTTTATATCGCGTGCTGTAAAATTAAGAATATTTTAACAAGAACTTTAAATAAAACTTAAAAACACTTGATTTGCAAGAAGTAGAATTTTGAACTCAAAACCTGTTAAAATATTTATTACTTTTTGTTTTACTTTAGTCCAAAGTAGTACAGGATAGTAAATTTCATTAGATTTTGTATTTGCAATGAGATAATTTTACCTAAAAATCAAATAAGATAAGGAGTTTTAATAGTGCTCGATAAAAAAAAAATCAATACATTATTAAACGGTACGAAGTTAATCGAGTGAAAACCCTGTGAGTTCGTTCGATGCAAGCTGTGTATTA